TCCCTACTGATCTTTCTCCCTTTTGCGAGACCCGCACCCCAATCTACAACACGTCAGCATGGAAGGAGACGGTTGGGAATTAAGGGAACCAGTCAAGGGATCGTTTATTTCAAAGCTGGTAGGCACCTAAGGAGGACACTGAACTCTAGAAGGAAACACTGGCACTCATTTACAAACAGAACTCAGCATTTTTATTCATTGATTGACTTCCTGCCAGTTTTGATATTTGCTACCACCAGAGAAGAGCATAAAAACACAGTACAACATTGTTAACCGGTTAGGAAGGCTGGAAGGGAAAGCAAATCCCAGTACAATTGCAGTAACTTGGTGGAGTTTATAATTAAGATTTTTTTAACGGATCAGCAATGAAGCAATAAATATGCTGCTGCACTGAGCCAACAGGACTTTCACTAAGTTTGTGGTTTATTGCATTACAGTTTAAAACTAAACGTTATCCATCATCATACATATGTTCATCAACCAGGTAAATGACACTTTTCCACGTGTTATATGCTAAATGGCTAAAATTATGCAGTAGCTGAACTAGACTAGGACTAGTAGAGGTAGATATTGAATGGGCAGTGCCAGGCAGAAATATTTTGTAAAAGTACTTTTTGTCTTTTGTTATGAACAGTTAGCAGATGTAACATTTTCAATTAAAACATCTTAGGAAAGCTGTTCTAAGATGCTTTGGTTTTTCTAGTAATATCTCTCTTACAATAGTCTTACAAAGCCTTTGATATGGTCCCTTGTAAACCAGACAATCTTCATCCTCCGAGTTTTCTGCCAGGATTTACTTGAAGACCAACATACAAAGCTAGAACCTTTGTGAACATACTACTATTTGCTTGTACCACTCTAAAAGTAATACACATTTACAGCTTCCTTGGCATGGGAAAACTGTATTTATAGTATTTACAGCTTCAGTAATCTTTTGAATAATAAAAATCTATTATACTTAATCTAAAATGGAATTTCTATTATGCCACCTCCTTATAACTCACTTCAGTCTCCTCTGGCTGAGCTGCTCCTTACCATTCTCACTGCTGGCTGTATGCTCCTGCAAAGAAGAGTCTCTGTCCAAAACAGGCATTAAAACCGGGGTTTGTACACAGCAGCTTTCATTTCCAGGAAATATAATTGTGACAAGATGACCGTGAGTTTTGTAACAGCGTACGCCCATCGCTCCTTACAACACTCAAGAACAGTTCCCAACTGGAACGCTCCTGGAAGCAAGAGTCCTTCCCTAAGCTCAGCAACCACTTTCCTCCATCTGGAACAGCTTTCATTAATGAACTTACAGACTGCTCGCTTACCTACCCATATGACTGTCTAATTATACTACATTTGCATTGTTTTCCTCCACAGAATCCCAAAGCAGTATGGTATCAGACAAGCGTAACTCCGACTTCCACATAGTTCGAGCTATTTTACATTACCACTTAGGTACAAACTGCATTTTTAGAGCAAACTTTCTTAGGTGGAAGACAGGGGAAAGATTTCAAAGCTAGCTAGCTACCCAGTACAGAACACTTATAAAACACTCCAAGCGATCATGAAAAGGGAAAAATAAAATCATTTGAATTCGGCTATATAGAGCTGGATTATTCTGCCAGGTGGTTTTGTTAGCATTAGTGGCACACGTTCAAAGCGCAACTGTGGCGTATGGGATGCTAGCACTGCAGGAACGATGGCACCGTTGCTCGGACCCTCAAAGGCATCAGGTTACAGAAAGATCTGAAGTCGTCTTATTTGAACTTGCTCACGTGATACTGAAATTGTATTTGCACCTCTGGTTTCTGAGGCCTGATCTCACTCTATTCTCAGCAGTGTTTTCTTTCTTTAAAAACAATGACAATTCAACCTGGCTGAAGAGTAAGGTGCTACACCAACTTCCAGGGTCTACTGTACAGCTGGAGCATCTCCAGACCTGGAAAAAAACCCGAAACACTAAAGGAAGATTTAATAGGCTAATTATACATACCTCATCTAGCCCTAGACAGCTCCCTGGGAAACCTGGTATTTTCTCCCCTATGCTAGGAGAAAAACTGAGTGACAAACTTCACTCTGTATTCTGGCTGACACACCGCATGTCACGACATGACTGCCCTCCTATGAACACAGAAGTATTAAGACTTCTACTGAAAAAAAACCCCATAACTGTAGAAGAATATAGAGGCTTTTAAGGCATTTAAGATGCAAGGAAATATAACGAGTTACTGAATAGATCATTTTGAGACTCTTTTACTTCTTTGTTCACACATACCCCATGTCTGAACGCTCCGGTCTCCAAAGTACCTGAGGTACCTACCACCTTGGGGCAATCAACAACTTTCAGTTACTCACAATTTAAGTCCACTTCTGACTCTGGCATTGCTTCATGCAATGTGCATTTGCACCATCTACAGTCTCTATCTAGGGAAAATACGTTGCTTCAACTTTTTTTTTCCCCCAGGAAAGATATCCACCGCATATGCCAGCACCAGTGGCTCCACTGATGGTGAAAACTTCTTTCTCCAGTGGAAATCATGACGAATCCAACCAAATGATGTCATTAGTAAGCCAACGTTCCAGGTCACCCTGACCGTGATGTCAATCCCTGCTCACCCGCTTTGGCAGCCAATGATTACAATTTTGGGTCTCGGTTTTCACTGTTGCATGCCACTCTGTGCTACTGCTTCGCAAGACTCCTTGCATTGGATTGTAACATCATTTCCAGCTCTTAAAAACTCTTCCTCAGAGATCAGCATTGCATCTAACAGGACAGATGCGAAGACGCAGCAAGAACAATTCCTTTGCCAATCAAAGAACCTTCTTCTTCAGGTAAACTCTTGACTCAGTTTCATTTCCTGGGACGGCAGTCTCCTGGAAGGCGATGAAGAACCTCTTTAATCCGAAAGAATCACCTCTGGAGCACTAGGGATGCCTTGCAGCAAGGCTATGAACAAGTGTCTTCGGGGAAATCACAACAGACATGTAGATGGAGGCTTCTGGAAGGCCCACAGAAATATCCTTTCCCACTTGCATAATGAAAGGTAACAAGTAACTTCCTGCTTTCAGTTCATCTATTTCAACACAAAAACAGGCAGTTAAAAAGAAAAGGAAATAATCCCATTTATAGGCAGCACCCAAAAAACAGAATTTGGGAAAAAAAAATTGCTTGATGCAATTCACAATCTGTTAAAAAGAGTGAGCACTCATCTGCCTCCTGCTAAGCATCAGAAGCCAAGCAAATGGCAGCAATACTCAGAGGCAAGGCCAAAAGCTCACAGCTTGTGTAGGCAAGACTGAACCATCTTCAGTAGTTGCAGAAGACATGCAGTCCAAGTATCTCAGGCTGCAGAAAAGACTGAGATCTAGACAGAAATACCAGAGTCAAGTAAAGGCTCTATAGGTATTCTAGTCCCTAAAAGCCCAGCAGATTAAATATACAAATATAGCAATACAACTTACATTTCTGACATGAACTACACTGCAAATGTACACAATAGTCTAACCGTGAAAAGAAAGTGGTGCTGAATACACAAGAAACAGAAAACTGTTCTTCTGACAGTCAGAAAACTACAAACCACAATAAATCTTCCTGGATTTCTTAACGGTACGTGTCAATCACTGAATTCCATGATGCGGAAGAGGAAGGCTGTGTATCCACACAACAGATACTCTGTAACTGAACTCCTGCAGCAAAGAAGGCACTCACTTTATAAGCTGTAGTTTATTTTCTGCTCTGTTCTATATGATGAGCCTATAAAAAACAAATTTCAGCACTTATCTATATTATTAACACAGTAGACTTGTAGACTGAAGCTTGACTTGAAAAACAGAATTCAACGTAACACTGATGGAACTTAAAAGCCAAGTAGTAAAGCATTCTGTGTTTTAGGACTTCCCAGACATTCAGTATTTACATATAATGCATTTGCACTTTATACTCAACAACCACCCATCAGCAGCGACATTATTAGCGTAACTGGACAGCACAGTAAGCCAACCCTGAGCTGCACTCTAGTGAACCCATTCATTTTCAAAGTACAACAGAGATTGGTTTAAATATTCACACAATTGTTTTTCAAAATGTTTTATTGCATTATATTTGGTACCTTATGTTTGACAAAGGAAATTACATCTGTAACTGCAGGAATAAGAAGCTGGTCTGTTATTGAAAAAAAATCTTGGGCCCCTTAAAAGTTACAAAGTCTTGGGCTTGCCTGAAACAACTGAGCAAGAAATATATTCTTAGAAATGTAGGGCTTCAAGTATTACAAACCTGTGACACTGTGGAAAAGTTCCAGAGGTATCTAAACTGCAGCACTTTTTTTTTTTTTCTGCATAACGTGAACAAGGCCTGCTGAGGTTTTAAACTATTAGTCTCTTGATCAGTCAAAATGGTAGTCAGGAGTTCTCCTCTTTGCCACTTCAAGCCATAGTATGTTCTCATTTTGTTTTCACTCTACGTGAAAAATGCATGCTATCTTTCTAATTAGTTGGTGCCACATCACAGTGCATAATTTTATTTGGTTCTTGCATTACAGTTTTAAAAAGTTTGGCCAACCTATGCTGATAGGTTCATCTCTAGAACAGCAACGTTGATTCTTCCCAGCCCACCCCCCACGTTTTATTTAGATAGTTTTAACTGGTTCCTTCAGGTAAAAACTGTGGTGCAAGAACACCAAACTGATCGTGTACAGTGAATTTCAGAGACACAACAAGCTTATTGAACACACTATGTTTCTTAATTCTGCTTGATATCTGTATGTCCCAGCATCCACAACATAACACGTATGTTGCAGGCTTCTCTGTCTATTCTGATTCACATTGCATACTTCCTATGGACAGAATCATCCCCGTATCAAAATCAGTCAGATGCTAAAGCCCCAACAACTCTTTGTGCTCAGTGAAAGAATCCAGTGCTAAAACAGCATTTTTGCTGTCTGAGATAACAGTAATCTCACAAGACAAATTTAAAGTAATATTTCTGCCACACACCTGCTCCGAGGGCTATACACCTCCAGATTTCATATAAATTAGTTTAAAAACATGGGTAGGTAGGTAAGGAGAAGGGGTTTTTTTTCTTCAATTTTAGCAGCTTTTAATTTTTAAGAAACCGAACAACCTATATCCAGTAATATGTTAGATATTTTATATATATACTTTGTCAGCAGGATAAAAAAAAAGTAAAACTATTTGAAGGCAACGGTTTTTTTTTTCCTTCTGTTCTCTGTGTAAGTTAGAACAATTCAGCAGGTGCGTGACAAAAATATTATACACCAGATATGGTCCAATGTCATTTTTTTCCAATAAAGTTGTTCATATTTCATTGGCCAGTTCTTCAGGTTCTGCAGAACTATCTCCATTAACTGTGATCTTCATATCCTCTTCGTATCCAGGGGGCATGAAAGCCAAAGCATAAGGGAAAAGCTTATGACAATTTGCTCTGTAAGTTTCAGATGCTTCTTTACAGTCTCCAAGGCTACCGTCACATAAAGCTTCTAATACCTCCATACAAGTCTAATTAAAGAGAAAAATAAAGAAGTGTTATGGTTTCTTAAACATTCATCTGAACGCTCATAGACCAGAAATACAATACTACAAAGAAAACAAACTCCAAGTGCTGTTTTCAGGTGTCTATCAATATCAAACTACTTTTTTCTAACTCCACACAGCATGAAACACCAATGTAGTTTGATTCAAAATAATGCAGTTTAAAGGGATTTAAAAACCAGCCAGAAATCTAAATACCGATTTGTCACCTGCTCCTTATTTTCCTAAAACAATGGATTCTTACTAGTTGGCAATCAAGAACCAGGCTTACTTGCAACTAAATGTGGGGTTTTTTCTGCTTTGTTAAAAACAATGAATCCAGAATATATACTAGAATTTCCCAATAATGATTTTTGTGAATGTGCTTTCAGATCGAATTGTAAGAAAAGTGGAATACAATTAAAGTGTAAAAACAGCATCAGCTGAATAACCATGATTAGATGTGAAAACGTTTCTGGTGGGGAAAAAGAAAAATTACATTTAAGGATATGTGACCTACTGAAGTGTCTCTGTAACTAGTGAATCAAACCAAATTACTCAGATATTATCCCATCCTTCGGATATATCTGCAGTTTCATATCCATTTTTGTTAATGATTTAGAAGAGAAAAAGGAGATTTCCTGTTTTTTTCTATTTGCATTCCAAACATGAGAAACAGACTTACTGAGCTTCACTAAAGCCCAACAGCATTTAACACCCATCCATGTCATTCATGCTAGCATTAGCACAGTAAGTCAGTCTTTTTCCACTCCTCTGACATTTACTGCAGCTTTTATTTGTTCTGTGTATTGAGATTAACTGCTCTGTCCTCCCGCTATGGGGTTATGAAGTTCTCTTCAACACCCCCTTCTCCTCACATGAGCTCTTTGCGACACTGGCATCCACAGAAGGTCAAACGTAGCTAGATTTATGCCTGCAATGTGCCCCAAGACAGCTGGTCTTTACTAAAATGACATGTAATAAATTTGATCTCTTTGCACATAAGAATGCCTTTCAACAAATGCCTCGACTCTTTCAGGTTCTCATTTTTTTTGAGCACTTTCACTTTCCCATCTAAAAGTTCAGTAGAACTCCAACTCTTACTTTATGTTGGCACCAACAATGCTTAAACTGAACCTTTTCAGTTTTATCACAATGCTCTGTACATCATCTTTACAGATTGAGCCAGTAAATGCTTCTTGTAGTCCTACCAAGAAAACATCTCTAAAGCAACCAAGCTTTTTTGGTTACATTTGGATCTTTACCCAGTCCAATTCCCAGAATCGTACTCTCAGGCAAAAACACCAGCTATAAGGCAAAAAGAATGCTGCTGAAGGCCATTTAATTTTTATTTTCTGCATCTGTTGATAATCTGCCTTAAGCTCTCTGAGACTGCTCAACCAGTAATACAAAAAAACACAAACAAAAGTACAGTTTATGAAAACTGCTAAATACATACTTAGGATGTAAGACATTAGTTTGTGTCCCATAACCAGATCAGCTACAGAAAGAATCTGAAGCTTTGACATCTGAAGCAAGTGTGTAAATAGATTGTCTTTTCTTATCTCTTTTCCCCATTTTGTCAAAAAAAATCTGTTGTGAACTTAAAATCCTTCTCCATTAAAGTTCTGTTGAACCCAGTATCTATCCAAAGGGATGTTTTTTGGAACACGCTGATTTTTGCCCACAAAAGAGTAATTTTACTAGCAAGTTCACCAATCTTACTTGCAATAGATGCAAAAAATTCTTCAGTCTCCAGACATAAAGAGCACAATAATGAAACAAGTGCCAGAGGAGCTGAGAGAAACGGAATGTCCTAAAGTTTGCACAGCCTGCCAAGGAATCTCTCTAACAATTAAATGTGCTGGACGCTCTCACAGTGGTGCCAAAGGAAACTGTTTGACTGGGATACAGAAACAGTTTAAAGAAGGCTAGAAAAAAGAAAGGACATTTTATTCCTCCTCTGCTTTGTCAGGTAAGGTTCTGCCAGAGTGCAGTCACAGGAAGAAAAAGCCATGTTCATTAATTCTTTATTACAAACATTTAAAGGTATTCAAAAAAATTACTTTCAAATCCTTTGAATTGCAAGTCAGCGTTTATAGCTTTCCCAGATGAAGGTGGGGGAGTGGGGAAAGGGGCATGGTGGTGTCCACGATCACCAGAATAGAGCAGAGTTTCTTTTTCTGGTGAACTGTCACCTGTGTAACAGCTAAAGCTTGGACAGACTACAATCTTTTCTTATTGGGGAGCTTTAGCATCTTTTGCCAAGTGAATTCTCTTGTGTTGTCCTGGTTTTTGGTTAAAACAGAACCACTTCTCTTTTAGTGAATTTTCCTTTCATTTAAGTTCTTCTAAGTAACTGCATTTTTCTGACGTTGGCTGCATATTCTTCAGACAGTGCCTGCTCCACAGATGGTAACACGTGATGTTTATAGTTTACTGAGGAATTTTACAGTAGGAACGGAGTGCAGGAAAGGCCCCTGTTTATAATTATTTCTATAGCAGCCAAGGTCCATGATAGACCTCTTCTGTTCTGCCAGTGAGGGGTCGCAAAAAGCCTGTACTTACAGGGAGGGGCGGACAGGACAGGTGACCCGATATTGACCAACGCGGTATTCCATGCCACGCGTGTCATAACTCAGTTTAAAGCTGGGGCATCACGAGGGTCTCGCTCTCTTCATTCATGGACGCCTTCTGAAGAGGACCCTGATCCAGACTGCGATGAGTGCAGTTCCCATCTACTGCGGAATCCAGGCCAGGACTTCCTGGTGCTGCCTGGCAGCTGCTGGTGGGACACCACTGCCCGCTCCCGGAAACTCCATATTGAGTTTGTATATTTTGCATTATTAGTAAAGCTGGTTTAATATCCAATTTGAAAGTCTCTCTCCCTTTTCCTCCTTTTCCCCTTTCCCTGGTGGGAGGGCAGGGGTCAATAGAGAGCATCTGCCACTGTTTATTGCCGCCCTGCTCTAAACAGTGACATGTGTTTAATAAGCCTTCCCATTACCTGCGGCAATAACTTAGTTTCTGCTGCTAGCCAGCTATTTTCATATTATTACAGAACTAAGTTAAATTTGTGATGAGGACTTCGAACATTTCTGATCGGATGAACCTGATACCCCTTTCCTCTCACATGACAATCCAACCTCCTTACGATAAGGCACAAAAATAATTTCAGCTTCCTCTTACCTCCATAATTTGCATAAAGCTTCCACAGATATACAAAAGTGGTTTACAATTTATAAATATCTGTTACCTGAAGATTTCTGTTAATGAGGGATTCATCCAGGGTCATTGCCAGCTCCACTGCCCTTTTCTGACTGGAAGGATCTAAATAGTACATCATTTTGGCAGCTACAGGAAGAAAAATAAGCTTCATCACCCAGTGGATGACCAAAAACTTATGCAGACACATAAAATAGAGATAATAAGACTAAGAGGGGATATTGAACTCTACAGTAGTAGTTCAAAACTGAACCACCTGGAGCATTAAAGCCTGACACCTGAGCAAGTAGAAGGGTGGCTTTAAGTCTACCATTCGATGCTAGACAAGGCATTAAAACCAACAGGCATTGTCTACACCGCAAGGTAGGAGCATTTGCAGTGTACCATGGAACCCCAGGCAGTGAAGACAACAAATCAGATCTGCTGCAACACACCACAGTTCCCTCCAGCACCACTGCTCAGATCTTCACACAGAAACCAGGGCACAGAAGAGATGTGCACATAGAGCTCTTGTTATAATATGGTGTCAAGACACAACCAGGACACATTTCCAAGTCGCACAGCACAGTCGGCGTTGGAGGGACTTGATGCCAGAAGTGATGCAAGAGTAAACTCACTGCTTTTTGTGGCCAGGTCTGAGGCCCACAACAGTAATGCCACTCCCCTGGGTGGCTTACACCCTGCTTCCTGTGTGGTACCCACTATAATACGTGGTTGCTCTTGACCGACAGCAATTCGTAACAGGTAACCAGCACCATCTCAGCTCCTCATTAGGCACACCAATAGCTCTGGGTGTTACCTGGCCTGCTGAGCACTCGGCGTATTTCTCTTGGCAGTAAGCCTCTTCAAATACACGTATCAAAAAAATTTTGCAACTGGGAAATACTACTTCACATACCATAGCTCATACAAACTACTTCATACAGTTACAGTTTTACGATACCTTCTGCACGCATCAGAAACGAAAACATGGCAGAGAGGTCCAAAAATTTGTATTTTAGCAGCATATAGAAAAAAATTTGAAGAAAACCAGACGACCTGGTGGTCATGTTGTCACAAAAACACTGACTGAGAGAAGAAAAGCATTCCTGATGGCAAGAGTGATTTTTACATCACTGGCGCTGATACTGAGATGCCACTACTAGATAAGCACAGAAAGTATTGAAGCAGGGCAGAAAAAGGATAAAGGCAAAATACCTGATAACCTGTGTGGTAGTGAGTCATAGTTCTTTTTAAGGAAAGCTTCATTGAAGTTCTTTGGATTAGTTGCTCCAAAAAGCCGATTCATTTCTTGGTTTAACACTGTTCTAACTACATCAGGTAGATCCTTGCTTTCAGATACTATTGAATTGCAAAAAAGAAGTTAATCAAGGTCAACACACATAGTCATAGTAAAACCTACGTTATGTATTTATTGTAATATTTGTCATGTTTACATTATTAATGTAATTGGAAAAAACCCTCAAATGAAGATGCATCAAATTTGAAAAGGTAAATAACTGGATCTGGTTGGAAAAAGCTTAACTGTGACAATTTTCTGATGCCTAGAAAAAGCCAAAGCCTTTTTACTCCAATACACTCTCCTCCTTACTGATTAAAATCTATTGGGCTCAAAGACTGAGGTCATACAAGTCCATTCTTAAGTATATCTAGTCTGTAGCCTTCAACAGGAAGGGTGACCTCTTGTGCAAGGGAAGGGAGATAATCCTGTCAACCTTCTAACAAAAAGGATAGAAATCTAAGCCTTCTCCTCGCATGCTGACACAGGCAGCCAGCAGAGAAGCCAGGTTCCTCATTCTGCAGTTTCCGTTTCTTCACTCACTCTTTCAGAGGTTCACCATACTACTCAGTCTTCAAAAGACTTACTAATACTTGTTGGAATAACTACTAAATCCAGCTGCAGTCATAATAAACATACTTAATTTTAGCACAAATCAGTTGTTTAAGAAACTTTCCAGTATGTGCATTAAATATTTTGAATTCATTGTGCTGTTAGTTTATAAACTAAAATTGAATGACTGTGTGGGGGTTAGGCATCACCTGGAAGCACGTACAGATGAAGTCGTATCAAACAGATACATACCACTGCTGAAGAGATGAATCATACACTCATGAAGCCAAGGGTGACTAGAATCAATAGCAAAAGCTCTCTTCACAGACTGAAGCATCAGAAGGAATTTCTCTGGAAAAGAAAGTGTTGGCAAATGTTCAAAAACCTGTGGCTGGAACTCACTGCATTATGTTGCAGGAGTATTTAGTGTCTGAAATTAGAACGCTCAGAAGAAATTAAAGCTGAGTGTACTGCAACACCCATTTTTTCTAACAAACATTTATTTAACCAGTGAATTAAGCTTGTTAAACTAGTAAGTAAATTTGAACATAAGTTCTTAAAGCATAATATTTAACCAATAGAAGAACTCAGAAGTCAAGTGTTTCAAAAGACCGGTTATCATTAGCAACTGTACACTTCTTTACAGCGTGTAGTTCTGCGAACTATAGATAGAAACAAATAACTAGGGCAAATGCAAGCTGGGAGAATTAGCTACAGTTTCATTGCTTATAGATTTAAGCACAGCAAAGACAGCGGATAATCACCAAATGTTCAAACATTGGTTTTTCACAGACTGCTCATGGCTGGGGTGTTGGTCCAATGAAAAGTTGTGTGTCTTAACAGAGACTGACTTCTCATATCTCATCAATAATTTCTGCTTAAATTCTAATATACATTTTTAATGAAAGAAAGAAATTTGCGGTTCATAGTTTTCTCACCTACCTTTTCGAAAATAAATCTCGAAGGCAAAAAGATGCGTCTCTATTTTGTTCTTCACTAAATTCTTCAAGGGTGTTAAAAATTTAATGGCTTCTTCCAAAGGTGCTTCAACCTACACATTCAATGAAATGACACATAACTAAGTCACTAAGTTTAAACCTAATAACTCTTCAACAACAGAATTAGCTATTTCTGAGTCACGTCAGAGAGTTACTCTTGTAAGGCAATGCATAAGATGCTTAGAACCTCTTCTGTTACAAATTATGCATCTTGTGCTCAGTATTAGTGTCTAAACACAGTCAAGTCTAAAAAATTGCTTTGTGATGGTTATAAATCACGTTTTCCTACAGTGATACAAGTCTTTGCCTTCTATCATACAGCTGCAACTGAACCTGCACTGTAATGGGCAGAATGGCTCCCCATGCCAATCTACCCACATGGGCCTGAGACGCTGGCAAACAACTACTTTAAGCCCGTGACAGAGAAAACTGCCAGGTCATGGCAACATTCCCAGCCACAACACTAAGAGCAAGCTTGAAGCAACTAGATATTGACCGCTGTCTCCTGGTCTTAGTTACCATAATCCAGTAAATGGATAGTTTTAACACAAATTAATTCTGTGCAAGAATTCTTTAAACACAGATCTCTTGCATCTAGAGGTTAGAGCTAATTCGAAGAAGAACTGTCTGTTGTCCTGCATATTTACGTTTTTTTATGCTACTCTCCAAGAATCAGATACAAAATTTAATTGTTGTCTACCAATAACAATTCAGTAATACTGAAGTAATACACTTCATTGCAAATAACCGAGTTGAAGACAATGATGGACACCTTCTGGAGTTCCTGCTAACCGTGTATTACGAAAGTTTTCATAAAAAGCCCTGCACCACTTATGCACGCAAACTCATAACAGCACATATCAGTCACAACTGTGCACTTAAAACTATGTGGAACCCATAATAAAACAGACTGCAAAGATATGCTTTTAATGCCAAAGCTACACATTCAAACAAGTCTAGGGGCAACTGTTTCAGGAAAACTGTTTGCAAGAGACCAACTATTGCAAAAATGGTCTTCCGGCACTAGGAACCAACTGAATTTGGAAGTGTCTATGTCATGACTCTGATATTAAATTTGGAATATTAGTAGGGAAGATTTGCCACTATACAGCTGCAACTACTCCCTATACTCTTAGGGACTGCCTAGATTTTCCTGGGATATCCCATGACATCCCCCTACTCCAGAACTCAATTTCAGTACATGGCATCGTGACCATTTCAATCCTAACTAGCACTGCAATTAGAGTGCTGCTTCTCGCAACCAGTGAGCTAAACAATAGGAATACTGACAACAATCTTCAATGACTAGTCAGGTTTTTTAAGTCACTTGCTTCCTGGCTACAGAGTGAAGTTCACTGTCTCAACTTTCAAATACCATTCCCTGAAGAGCCAATAATACCATACCTACCAGTACTTGGATACTATACTACTATTAGCATAAATTAATTTTTCCATTCTCTGTATATTTTTTCATTATCTTTCCCCACATTTTTCAAGTGTTTTCCTGCTCCTTACAGGTACAACCTTTAGCACAAGAATAGTCTTCTGGGTCACCTCCGCTTTACGTATCTCTACAGTTCTTAATCCAGATCTCGAAATCCATCTCAGTCTAGTCTACTACTATTTCCAAATAGCTTCTTTACCCTTTTTTCCCCCCCCTCTATTCAAAACAAAATGCAAACAAATGCTGTTAAACCATTCACTGTTTCAATGCCTCCTCTTTCACAGGTTGTCTATACTTAATAAATAAAAAAATATTATGGGACATAAAGAGTGAATGATAATCACCTTACATACAGAATAGAAAGACTTCCATCCGATCAACTAGAAATAGGGTATAATCAACAAGTTAGTGCAATACACACAAGAAGATAATTCCACCTGTAGCAAATGTTTATGACTTCAATCGCTGCCCTTCACCTTCACCTGAAAGCTGTGATTTCACCACATTACTGACAGTATAGCCAACAATTCCTAGAAAAAAAACTATTTTTAAAATGCTGCCTGCGAAGAGAAGCCATACAAAAATAAAGAATTTATGTGAATGGCTTTCAAATTGTATGTGTGCTCACTGTAACTTCTTTAGAAATTTCTGTAACTTCATCATTACATTAGTAAGCACCTTTGCCAACTTCTCAGGGATAAGTTCTTCTTTCGGACCTCCGATTTCTTCATCATCATCATCCTTCTTCTTTTTCTGATTCCTCTGTTGCTTTTCTTTCTCAGCATTCTTCTTCTCCTCCTCCAGCTGTGCTTTCTTTTGCGCTCTTCTCTGCTTATTTCGTAGCTTCTTTAGCTCCTTGTCAGACATATTTGCTGTACACACGCAAAGGACAAAACCAATGTTGATGTCTAATATAACAGTCTCAATCAGTTGTCAGATACCATCCTCTCCTTTAAACCACATCTACTAACTAGTAATGCTGCTGTTATATCTGTAAAAACTTCTTTACTATCAACAGATTATTTTACAGTCTACGCTGCTGCTTCATAATTCACAAATTCCTTTGTGAAATCAGGGCAATAGGAATTAGAACAATATTTGCCCCTGAACTCGGCACTGGTGAGGCTGCATCTCGAGTACTGTGTTCAGTTTTGGGTCCCTCATTACAAGAAAGACATTGAGGTGCTGGAGCGTGTCCAGAGAAGGGCAACGAGACTGGTGAGGGGTCTGGAGAACAAGTCTTACGAGGAGCGGCTGAGGGAGCTGGGGTTGTTTAGTCTGGAGAAGAGGAGGCTGAGGGGGGACCTTACTGCTCTCTACAACTACCTGAAAGGAGGTTGTAGTGAGGCAGGTGTTGGTATCTTCTCCCAAGTAACTAGTGATAGGACGAGAGACAATGGCCTCAGGTTGCATCAGAGGAGGTTTAGATTGGATATTAGGAAAAATTTCTTTACTGAAAGAGTGGTCAGGCATTGGAATAAGCTGCCCAGGGAGGTGGTTGAGTCACCATCCCTGGAGGTGTTAAAAAAAGTGTAGATGTGGCACTTCAGGATATGGTTTAGTAGGCATGGTGGTGTTGGGTTGACGGTTGGACTTGCTGATCTTAGAGGCCTTTTCCAACCTATGATTCTGTAACAGTACAACATGCTGAAGGCGGGACAAAGTAATTACGGCATGACTCCACAAATCCAGTGCCTGGAGTAAAAGTGCACAACAATATGTATTGATTTATTCCTTAGGCATTGCACAACACAAATTATGTTTAATGTAGTAATTAAATGGTCTAACAAAAATAAGGTGAAATAGTTGCACTTTGCATAAATAGTTCCAGCTTTGCTTTTAATGCCCTACAGACATCTCACATTTGATTCATAGTCAGATCCTCTCCTCCCTCCAATTAAAGCATGGAGAATTAATTCAAAACAGATCAGAAAGCAGCTACAAGAAATTCTATTACACTTCCCCTTGTCTTAATTTGAGCCTGAGGCCACACAAATGAACTGACATGAGAAATATTAAACTTGACAAATTCCTCCTGGAGGATTCAATAGCCTCCATTCATACCATTTGAGGTTCCAAGCCATAATCCCTTAACTTGCTCTCCAGAGACGGGGGGGGGGCAGGGGGAAATTGAAGGGATTACACGTAATTTTAAACAAAAAGAGATGATAAAATTTGTTACCTAGTAAACTTTTGCACACTGATAAAACGCTTAGAAAGAACTACCACCAAGCACACGTGCTTCAGCCTGTTATTTCATGGACCAACCACCATGAGAATTCCATGTTTTCTCAGCCATTTCCTAACACAAACATGTTTTTACTTAAGAATTACAATTGTCGCTACAAAAAACATAATTGTTTCATAATAACCAAAATTAAACTAATACATGTTTTTACTTTCAGTAAGAACATCTACTTGTACATGCAGGCCAAGTTACAATTTGCCTACTTTCAGTTATGACAGAACTCTTACTTTTGGCTACTACAGTTGACAACTATAAGACTGGTGGATCTTCATAAAATATCCACTAATTAGTGAAACTGCATATTTAATAAGTCCTGAGGGTTGAATACCTGTATCAGCCTCGTGTTCTTTATTTTCATCTGTTAAAGGATTATCATGAAGTTTCAAATATATCTCTATGGCAATGCGTGCTGCTTTGAAGTAGAACGGATGTTGTCGAAGTACATCTTCTAGTTTTAACAAGTCCACATAAGACCTAAGTGTAATCTTCCTCATACAGTAGGTGTGAAAGTCAAACTGGTCATCCGTGATTTCTACAAAATGCTAACACAACATAACACAATATCATTCAGCAAGTATTAACAACCAGACACTAACCTTGACTTTTTTAACACACCCTCCCCAAAGCAATAATTTAGTAGAAGCCCGCTGTTTGACAAATACACCCTAGCTTTCAGAAATATGACTTAACAAAACCCTCCAAAAATAACATCATGGTGAAAAGAACAGAAGGCATCTTAGGTCAGAACCAAAATTCACACATTTCACAATCTCTTAACAGTATCTACCCTCTGACAATTTGCAGTTTAAGGGACAAAGGTTCTACATTTGTTGTATTTAAACCTCACTTGAAGAATTTTTCTTCATGAACTCCTCCAATTTTTTCAGTCAAAAGTACAGTTTTTGCTTCCATTACTGTGGCAGTGAATTCTACACTTGAATCACACCTGGTGTGAGAAAGTACTTCCTTTTGTTCAAGACCTGCTTTCCTTATTGTCACCTGATGTCCCCTTGTTTTTGTTTGAGAAGCAGTGAAAAGTCATTCCTCTCTTCAATTTCTCCATGCAGTTATGATCTCATACAACTTCATCCTAAACTCAGTTGTTGCTTGTCAAAGCTGAGGATAAAATAATAAGCATGACAAGCTAATAGCAGTCTCTTGAGGTCGAAGTTACTCCACGGCACGTATTTTACTAGCACTTTTTTAAGGAGGTATGATATTCAGATGTAAACAATACGACAGATTTACACAATGGAAGAAAATTACTACTTCTCTAGTCACTTAATTCCCAACGCTGTCCTTTTGACTGCCGCTCCACACCTACACAGAAGTTTTTGCAGCACTCTGTAATGGTTCCAGGGTTTCTTTCCTGAGCAGCAATAATTCTTGTAAGACCTTTTAACATTTATACATAGGCAAGGAATTCTTCTTGTCCCCCCCTTTACCAACTACACTGTTGAACATTGTGTTTCATGCACCATTTTACAATTTAGTATTGAGACAGTGCAAGCACGGTCCTTAGACTACTCACTCCTGTTCTGTGATCATTTATTGATATATCAAACAATGGAGACCCTGGAGAGACGCCTTAGTAATCTCCGTGATAAACTCCTTTTCTTGTAAAAGTTGATTATTTGCTCCTACTATGTTTTCCCTGCCATGAACAAGCTATTAAATCCATGACATCAACTTCCCTTCTTTTTCTGAGAGAGTTTAAATCCTTTACGGTGTGAAGGATGACATCAAGAGTGTTTCTGAAATCCAGAACACATTTTCTCAACTAGACTGCCTTCAGCGTAACTGACACCTCTAAAAGACTTAAGAGGCACTGCTTTTTCTTACAAAAGCTTTGTTGATGGTTTCTGAATATAACATATTTGTCTACCTTATTTCCGATCTTTACCACAATTTCAATTAATTAATCCAACAAATAAATTAAACATAGTGACTTAATTCCTTAGAAATGTTTTTCTGGGTGGTCTAAGTCAGCTCTTCACTTGCTGACCTCTTCTGGTAACCAATACAATTTACAAGACTAGTAGTTTCTTACACAAATTCTTTCAAAAGGATTTTACACATATTCGAAGGATCTGTGTGCATAGAAGATGGTCCTGGCAAATCACTTTGTTCTAATCTGAGAATATTCCACAGACTAGTGCCCACTGCAGAAAAGCATCAGTGTTGAAATCTCCTTAAGCCGCCCTGTTTACCAAGAGGAATAGCTTCCTACTGCGTCCTTCTCTGAGCACTTCATTCATACCCTCAGCTGTCAGGTCTTTTTTCGAGACCCTAATATGCTTAAAAAACCCCAAACCCATACTGTTTTGTTTTGTTTTGTTTTTTAAAAGACGAAGATATTTAATATTGTTGATAGTTCTTTACATTTATTCTCTCCCTCTAAAACATAGTGGCTTAACAATAACTAAGGCGACATCCTTCCCTTACTTTAAGGCTGGGCTTGTCAGCTCAGCCATGTTCTTTTTGGACTTAAAGTACACATACTCCTGGTTTGTACCCAAATACCTATTTTTTTTGTACCCTGCCAAAAATAAGATTATCTCAGAGTTTTCTGTTCTTTCCTGGATCTTCAAATGACTTTATCAAATCTCTTTATAATACACAGTTTACAATGGCATTTTTAGGAGGAAATATGATTGAATCAACTTGCCAGAACCCACCAGGAAACAAAATCTCTCCTGAAGCTAAATGAAGTATACTCTTGCCAGTCAGAAAGGAAACACATCAGCACAGTAAACTTAAGCTAGAGTTTTCCAACCTAGGCAGTTTAGATACGTACTCTCTCAATTTCATGGCATTTCTTAAGTGCTTCTCCGAATTTGTTCATTGCTTTGTAAGCTTGCGCACACTCTGTCTGAAACCACATGCACTGCATTTCATTCAAGTTCTCTACTGCCGAGGTTCCTTCCTAAAAGCAAAAACAGCATTATAAAAAAACTAAATCTCATTCAATTTGTTAACTGCTATTCCTTTTACCTTGTTGTAATTAAAAGCACAAATAAAGAGGCTATCAAAAGAATGCCAAATTTCAAAACTGGAGTCCCAAAAGTCAGAAATGCCACAGTTCAGATGGACTTGTTCTGTTCATTACTCAAAAAAAAAAAAAAAAAAAAAATTTAACCAAAAATCTAAGACTTGAGGTGGGGGAAGGGGGGACAAGAGGGGACAACACACAACACGTGGGCTGAATCAAAGCATCTTCAAAAAAAAAAAAATCCTCTATGTTCCACTTATTGGAAGAGTCAGACACACACAATGAATAACCAGGTAGTGACCATTTAACTGTGACAGTTCCTCATCTTTATGACAGAAGAGATGTTCAGTCACTGTTTTAACCTTGTGTACACAAATAACACATTGCAGCACGCAGAAAAATGGCAGAAAAGTTCTAGCATGTGGCATGACACTGACACCTGCAGGATTTTTTATTTTTTTTTTAACTTAAACTGCCATCTGTGTCTTCCAGAGACCTGCTGATTGAGCAAAGCATAGTAACTAACAGTAGTAATAGGTTATTTCTTATGTGATCAGTACTAGAGAGCAGTGCCAAAGCAAAAGGAATACTGGTAGCTTTGACACCTTCAGATTCAAAAAAGAATACAGTTGCCTTTCAAATCTGGTATTTATATATACTTGCATAGATCTCTACAACTTATCATATGCCTTTCAAGCTTAATGTCAAAGTCAGCTGCTTGGGGTGGATGCAGCCATTCTGACTTTACTCTGATCTTGCAAAAACTAGGCTATTCAAGAAGCAGCCAAGAGCCAAAGCTGGGAAAATGAAAGATAATATTCGAACGGAAGGGTAAGGAGAATGCGCCAAATGAGAGAGAAAGGCGGTCTTCAAACCAGTCTGATTTAGGCAGCTAAAAACCAGAAAAACTGTTAGTTCTGTTTCCTTTATGGCTAATTTAGATCTTCTTTAATTATTGTTTTTCAATTAAGAAACTTGTATTTGAGCACTAGACAGAAGATCAAAAGGAGATAAAAAAGATTATACAAAGCAACATCATCAAATTATATTTTTAAAGTTCAGTTTTGGGCAATTGGTATGCTTACTTTTTTGACATCTTAAAGCTGCTTAAGGCATTGAGAGAGGTCAATTAACCTAGATTCACTGCAGTTTTGCATCAAACACTCCACATAAAGCTACTAAGCTTATATAAACAAAGCTTCCCCTCCCTCTGTGTTTGCCTGCACACAGCCTCCGTTTCACAAAAATCCTTCAGCTTTCCCTGTAGAAATACCCCTCTGTTCAACCTACCTTACTCCAGGTTTTTCCTGCTCTTCAAGAGAGAAGAGAAAAATGGGACAAAAAACAAAAAAGAATTACTTCTACAGGTAGTTTCCAATAGCTTGCTGCCTGCCTCCCACTGACAACACATAAATGATATTGCCAGTATTCTAAAGCTATCATTTGCCAAATATTCTGGAAAGGCTACACTGAGCTGTTTTGACTTTCAGTTATGAAAGAGTAACAGCAAGAGAAAAGCACCTAACCTGTCAGACCAAACCTAGCAAAGTAGGTTACTGCAGGGACAAAAACTGATGCATGAAATTAAGCAATGCCAGCTAATTGGTCATGGGTAAGCAGCCACCAAAAAAAACAAAACACCACAATATGCAGCTTTCCTTCATTACTGTTAAACACAGCCTTATCGATGAAAGATTGTTCACACATGGAGTACATCTCAAAAAGACTCCCACCTTGTAGCCACACAAAAATTTTATTACAAGAGAAGTCTGAATTCTCTAACTTACTACCAAGAAAAAAAAATATGAAAGGGAGGCATGGACAATATTATCAGATCTTTCAAGGATCCTATAGAATCAATATTAAACCAAATGACTTATCACAAAATTAAAGCAGCGAAACACACATGCTACATTCTTCCTACCTGGCAAAAATGATCAAATCCAAGCTTTAGAGTTTTCACTTAATACTATGGAATCATTCTTATCCAAGATTAATTTAAATCCTGATAGTCACTAACATGAGTGAAGCAAGCAATCATAGTTGCTCTGAAACAGAACTTAAAGATTATAGCAAAGGTGAGCGGAAACTTAACACAAAAAGTTATTCCACAAGGAATTAGGGCCACATTATTCAAAAGAGTTATAGTTAAATGCAACAAACCCTCGTAAACTTAGAACACATTTCTTCTGCTTCTTTAATGGAGTTTGCTTTCAGCATATATTTTGCACATTTGGAGTTGATAAATCTGTCTGCTGTGTCCAAAGCCTGAGCTTCATCCATCCACCTTGCAGCTTCTTTAATATTGCCAGCATGCTTAAAGAAACAGAAATTCAAGTTCGATTCATTAATTATAAACCATGCGTGTTTTACTGACTCACTGTTTAATATAATTAATTATTTTTTTAGACCTTTTTAAATAAATAGCTTTCTTCAGGAAAGCAACAAACTTTTAAAGGAAAAAAGCAGAAAAATTACTTTCCCTCCTTATGGAATTACAGGTCTTTTGGCACTAGATGTTCTTCCTGAAAATGCTTAAAGGACACTTTGTATAATCCCATTCTGATAGTGCAATTGAGAAATTGTTTTCAATTAGTTAAAAAAAGTAGGGGGCGGGGTAAGAACAGCTGGAAGACATTTGAAGCACCAGCTAAATTTATTAGCATAATTTTTTCATATGAAAAATATAAGTGTAAATTGAGAATTCACATTTTTAAGTATCCTTGTCCTTTATTGACTTAATCTTCAGTAGGGGCTTATTCACTTGCTCTAAAAAACCCAAGCAGACAAACAATACCCTTATCTAGACACCTCTACTAAAATTCACTACATAATTTTCCATGGATTATCCATGTGTCTTGCTTAATACAAGCTTAACACTTCAGCGTTCACATCAAAAATGTTACAGGAAAGTATAAGCATATGTAAAAGTCTTCCACCATAACAAACAAATAACCTCTGGTCACTAAGATCAAGCCAAGCTTACCTTATAGATTTTTGCCTTCACAAGGAAGAGTTCTATCAAAGTGGGAGTACTTTCTATAGCAGCGTTTATATATTCCAGAGCCAGGGATGGCTGTCCAATTTTATCATAATGCTGAGCCAAATAATACTGGACCCAGAGTAAAGTGGTTGGAGGTTCTTCTTTACCATCATCTGGAGGGAGAAAAATGGAGGGAGTTGTTTTGTTCAGTTTATTAAAACAACATGCCAGAACCAGGGTGCTACAAATACAGCCACTGGAGTTAATTCTGACTCTATCAGGCTGTCAAAACAGACCTGGGATTTTTGAAACACCTGGGTCCAAGTAAGTCCATTAACTTTTAAGTCCATGTTTCGACAAGACCTGAGCATATACTCTTCCCTTCTCATACTGTAGTTTTAAGGGAAAGGAAAAGTGCGTTAGTGGGTCAGAAGCAAGTTGCATTTTGTTCCAACCAGTGCCTTAATGCAGCTTAGTGCATGATGTAGAGCTGCTATTTAAAACTGGTTCAGATGAAGGGTATAGCAGAGAGTCCTGTGGAACACAAGTGTTGCACAATAACAATGTAAAGGATTTCAGTACATTCAGCATTTGCATGTTTTCAGCTCATAGACTTGAATATTTTTAAACAAAACAGATTGTCTGTTCCAAACCCTAGCTATAAAAAGATTCTGTCTCCACCTTTGACAAATTTATCCTCACCGTTCGCCTAAACGTATCCTAGAAAATATTCATATACACAAGTCAGTTATGAAAGTTAGAGAGCTCTGTTTGAAATTCAAGATACTATCGAAGTATTAAAAGCTCATTTCACTACTCAATTTTGACTATGAAGCACAGTGCCTTGCAGAGGGAAAAAAAGGGGCGTGGGGGCTCTAGTCCTGCCAAAAGGTTCTGGTTCTTCAGTCTATGGTATAACTTAACCATGCAATTGCGTGAAACTGTTCATTTTCAGGTAGGAGAAAATTTTTTATTTGAATGAAATTTAATATCAAAGCAAATATTGAATTGAACTGAATAACAGTGAGCCATTTCCTTAAACCAGAAAAGCACAAATGTGTTTAAAAGGCTTGGCCAAAGTAAAACAGGTATTGAGTGGCTATATTGCAGCCTACAGAATTAAATTAAAGAAGAATGTATAACAGGCAACTTGGATGAGAATTTCACAACTAAGTATTGCATTAAAGTTTCTGCGAAGCAGGGAAACAATCAGTTATAATTTCAATAAAAATGTCTTTAATAATTATCCTGTAAAGTTTTAGTGTATATTGTCATTCATGCTATCTTGATTATTATACCATTATAATCCACCTGCTGTAATTTCAGGACTATGCTCTGCTGATATTCTATGCAGAGAAGTTTTTTCTTGGAGATTTTCTGTTATGAAGTGGTTGGGCAAATGACTAAAAAAACATCATAAAGCTACCAGAGAGGCAACTGAAGGCTGGATTCAAAACATGGAGAACCATACCTCACAACAACACAGCTGTCAGTCAAAGCCTGGAAAATGTTTAAATGTTTTTCAGATCTCAAAAAAAAAACCCCAAGAACACAAAACCCAGCCCTCATCAAAAGCTCCAAAACCCCCTCCCCCTGAAGATTCTGCTATCAGTATCTACTCCTTTTTGTCTTACATTTCTGCAATTAAAGATTTAACATCACTTTCAATTGCAGTGTCCTGGAGAATGGTAAACTCCAGTCTTGAAAACAGAATACTTGAAACTGCAAAGAGATAATCAAATTGTGGATCCAGCAAAACTTTTAGAAGAAGTGACTAGATTTTGACTACAGACTTTCTATTTGACAGTTTAAATCTGTTCTAAGGATGGCTATGGTTCATTTCTGTCTTAGGGCGGAAAAAGAAGGAAAAAACCCCACTATCTCAACTTCTTCACTCCCCACTGATTCCCTGCCTCTGAATGGTCACATAATGCTTACACCGGGCACTACTTCCATGAAATACGGCAGCCTTAGCACTCACCATTTGTGTTAAATAACCTGCAGCTTCTTAGAGAGGTTTCATAACCTATCACGAGCTCTTCTATGATTGCCACCTACACATGCAAGACAAGACAAAAAAAAATAATCTGTGGGCAAGATGGTATTTTATTTCAACTTGAACTACTTGATGTTACCCAAACTAGTTCTTTTTGGCAAGAGAATTCTGCAATATCCTGAATTACAATATATATGGGAATGCACTCAGCTCACATCTCTAACAAATTAAGACCAACTCTCCCTTGGTTAACACTTATGCAGCCTGTGATTTTGTAGATCTTAGTTTCCTATATTTACCACCTTGACACAAAGCCACTTGTGCTTGTACTTGATTTTCTTCTAGATATACTAGTCTACAATATGCAACAGTGCTGATGGAGCGAGCACTGAAGAAAAAAGCTTCTCTCTAACGCACCACAGCTACAAGGTAGATCATGTAAGAAGCAGGGGAAAAACCTACCTTCTCCTTGTCTTTATATAATGACCTCAAAGTATTGAAGACTGGTGGGCAACCTTTGCTGAAATTCATCCTTAGGAACTTATCCAGACATTCCTTAAACTTTTCACCTTGAGAGGAAAAAGACCTGTTGATTTTGTTTTACCACACATTACTTGTCAATTGCAGACTGCTTATGCTGTTAAAACATTAGTATCTAAGAAACACAAGTGTTAATCACTACCTGCTCAGCAGAAATGCACTTACCCGACAAAAAGTTTAATGGTAATCTTCTTGGAACTAGTCCCCTTGGGTATTTAGTCCAGGCCTCTTCATAGATCTTTAGCCTCTCCATCATATTAGCTGGAACAGAATTTTAGAGTTTACTTTTTCCTTAATTTTTGGCAAGAAGGGAAGAGGGGGAGGGGAATGATTTGTATCTGGTTATAAAAAGAATGAGAATATATAGCAACTATGGCTACATACTTCCTAAAGAACACTAATTTCCATTTTATTCTTTTTTGCTGTACCAAATGATTTCAGGTATTCAGTATCTGTAAATTCCTCTCCCAGCAGTGGAAGACTAACTGCTTATTTCTCGTCTTAAAAAGAGTTCCTGCCGTATCGCTGTGCTAAAATCTTGAACAAAGAAAACCTTTCAGGAGAATCCTGCCTGTTTTTCCAAAACCTGTTTTACCTACAACAAATTAAGATAACAGAGACAGTAAAAGAAAAATTCTAAATCAAAACTGTCTTCTAAGAAATAATTCTCTTCTTTCAACCATGCACAAAGATTACTGCATTTTTTGTTGTTCTGTTTTTAAATAAGACATTGTAGCAACAATACAAGAAATACTTTGAGCCCTTCTTAAAAAAAAAACTTCATGACAATACATACACACTATGACTAAAAAGCAAAACTGAAATGGGGACATTTTAAAATAATACTGTTTTATTATTTAAAGCAATGCAAGTCTGCAATAAACATACAAATTCCAGATGTGCAGGAACAGCTTATTTAGTGCAACATATCATATCATATCGTTACCTGGTTTAAGTGCCTTTTCTAGGCCTTTGTAGTAGGCCCAGTTTTCAGGATTTCTTTCTTGCAGTCCTTTGTAGACTTCAACCGCTTCTTCAAGTCTGCCAAGCTGAAGGAGGAGGTCTCCTGTGTGAAATCCAAGAAGTTTTAAATTAAAGTAACAAGATATTGAAGCAGTATGATATTAATCACTTAGATGGATTAGATAATCCTTGAGGATTAGATAATCCTTAACTCCATGTAGTTTCTAATTTCTTAGAAAAAATTATCACAGTGGCATTACAAACTAGCTGACTAGCTTTTACTTTGACAACAGGTACTATTACTGTAAGATTCCACAACTCAGCCAGTAATCCTTGAAACTTACTTGAAAATTTAATGTTAAAAGTAAGCTGCACGATTTTTCTTCTCACTTACTGAACTGACTGGTTACTTCAAGCAGTTTTTACTACAGAAGACAATTAAAAGCAGTACACGGTATTTCATGTATATAGCATCTTGAATACCAAACTGAAATTGCAGAGTTGCAAATAAAAGAATGGCTCGTCAGTCTGGTATCTCATAAAACTAACTTCACATTTTAAATCAAGCTATTGATCTGATTAATGAATTCTCAAGACTCTGCACGCAAGTTTCCTTTTAATGATACTTCATTACAAGATACAACTGTCAGAAGTAAAGTCTATATCTAACAACTGTATAGAGCATCTTTACTGATGCTGGAGTTGGAAAAAAAGTCTTTTTCCCATTTCACAATGGGAAACTATATTTTACAGAGCTTTGCTACTGGCAAATGTTAGGCACTAAAACATCACAGACCAGAGGTAAAACAATGTCATTTTAGATTAAGGTAAGATTTTTCTCATCTGGTCTCAAGAGGAAACCGTGAGTCAGCACTACCCCTCTTCTCTACGTCATGCAACTGACACGTAATTTTGTCAAGGGAGGCTGCTTCCCACAGGTAGGATAACTTGAGGACTACAGGCAGTATCTAATGCCAGGGAAAACATCAATAGTTCACACACTGAGAATGGCAGAATCTGGAAAATAAACCTGAATTCTTTCTCTGAGGTGAAAGTTGTATGTCTGTACTCTACTTGTCTTAGCAGCCTGGGAGAAGAGTATGATAGGCACCAAACAGCTGCAAGACAAGCAGTCCTTTACCACAGCAGAATTAAATAAATTAATCTAAAAACAAATTAAAGATGAAGTTCCAAAAGCTGACAGTACAGACATTCCACTGTACATTATATGTGTACACATATCTTCAAAAAGTAATTACCTTTAGTTTCTTCGACAGCCAGTTTATCACAGATCTGCTTTTCGTAGGTACAAAGATGCTCCAACGCTTCTTTATATAGTCCTGCCTCCCGAAGCACTTGATTTTGATAAAGCAGCAGTTCGCTGTACTCATAGTCCACTTTATCAGGTGATGTCTACGTAGGAAAGCAAGACACATGAGAAAGTTCGGCCTTCTAGAATGCATTTGGGATTTAATTCATTTAGCTAAAGAAACCACGTGAAGTTTCCACAGCATGAAAGGAAACAGCGTTTTATTTTCAGCTTAAGCAGCAGCCCTTACAGGAATTTCATGTTGTCCTCTCACCTGCTGTGTCTTCCTAAATTCCTCTAAAATTTTTGCTGCCATTTCATAATCTTCCAGCAGATGGTAAGCAATAGCATAACCAATCCATGATGCTCGCTGTGCAGGTCGGAGCTGAAGCAACTGGTATCTTGTTTCCTGCAAAAAAGTAGCTACTAATTTTCCTGATTTTCTTCTGATGCTCTGTAGAATCATTATGCAATACTCTGTCTTCAGTTTTCCAATATTTAAGGAATATCACTAAAAATTAGTTTTCTATATGCAAATGTATTTTTGTTTGAACCAAAAGAAAGAATAAACTTCAAAACACTAAGATGGTCTTGACTGAAAAAAAAAATCACCCCCCCCCAAAATAGCACACCATGTCCAACTGAATACAGATGAGTCAGACTAACGTATTACACCCATGCTTTTCCTGTCTTACTGCTTATGAACAGAATGCAATTAAGGATGCTTTGGTTTGAGCTGCAGAAACATTTACCCTATACTGGTATTTCAAATTCACCTTGGAAGTACGTATGTATTGAATCATTACAAGTAGTGTTAGGCAAAATAGGTCATGCAAGTGCATCCTACTCTTTGGCAAGAAGATAACTGCAGCTGGAAGATGCAACAGATTTGCTTGGTATCGTGCCGTTCTAATCTGAGGGAAAAGTTATTTCTTGTTTTGATACAGACTCCTGAAAGGCATCTTCAAGTGATTTAAAATAAAGGACAAAAGTTATTACCTACTAAAAAACCCCCAACAGTCAAAGCAGGGGTTAACAAAGAACTAAAACTAGCTACAGAAGCTTGACTAGAATGAAGATCACTCAAAATATTATGAAGTAGGAAAGGGTGGAAGTTAAAGCAAAGGAAAAAAAAAAACCTACAACCTTATTCCTTATTTTGAGACTAAATACACATCCTTCAGAAACTAGCATATGATCAGTCATGAATTATTGGCTTCTAAGCATGTTAATGTTTAATCCTTAATGCATTCTATAACCACGTTCCTTGTATGTTTAGCAATTATGTATTTGTATTCACATTTATCCAGAGGCCAAGAGAATATACATTTGCAAATGAATTTTGGCACCTATGCTAAGTTTTGACTATCTTGTCTCAGCAAGAGAGGAGTTAAATTTCTAAATTACTATTATGAAAAAACCAGTGATTAAGAAATGTCCTAACTTGGGAGTAAGTTCACTGAGGACCTATGTTAGCTGATGGTTCCACATGGCTCTGAGAACAAAATTTGTTCTTAGCATTCTAACATTACCCTAATTTGAAAAGGAAATAATCTACTAAGAGACCAACACATGCGTTTTAACAACCACAACTTTAAATGTGCAAGGAAAACCTGAAAATATGAAAACCTGACATAACATATTATCCAAGGTCTCTCAGGTAAAAATCTCACAGTTTGTTTGTTTTTTTTTTTCCTCCAAAGAACAGGAATATCTTATTATACCAGTTTACATCAGATGAAAACTAGACAAGTTTCCAGGCACAAAAAATGCCATTTAGGAAGAACTAAGAGTTTGTTTTCAATTAATTAATGTATGAATTATAAATACTTCTGGCTGACCATTGTTGTCTTTCCCTGGATGGCAAATTAAGAAACAAACAAATCTTCTATAGTTATTGTTCTGTCTAATCCTAAGCAAGCTGTATATTGATCATGGGCAGCAACTATGACTTAGCCTGAACCACGTAAACATCTCCACAATATGCATACTGAACAGAAGCTGCTACTTTTTAAGAAATAAAGGTACTGACAAGCTAGACATCAGCTTGCAACTCAAGAAGACAGAAAAAAAAAATCTAACTACATTAGGATTAGCATTTGTAGAGAAGAACAGAAAGTTTGTATTCTTCTTTACAGAAGCATCACAGCTGCGAAACTGCCACCTCATAATGGTTGTTCAGCATGAAGCAACATCTCATGTGGCAAATACAGACAAACTGACACAACGCAGCAAACAACTGAGTGCTGCACTAACAGGAAGAAAGAGGGTTCCAATCTAAGTTGCCAAAGTGCATTCAGCCTTACTACAAAATAAACAGAAGAAAACAAAACAGCATTGTAAACATTCTGAGCATCAAATCAGGAAAAGAGTTCTGATCCACAATCTTACACCTCACAGGAAATGTAAGGATATATCTGGACCCAAAGGAGCCGTCACTAATGCCCAGACTGGATGGGAAGCAAAATATGAGGTTTCATGCAGCATACTGCTTGCTTTGTATTGTTACCCACTGCCAAGAGAAAGTTGGTGGCCACTGATATAAAGGAGGAAGGATATATGGTAAAAAGTTATTAAAAAATAGAAACTCCTTTGCCTGAATAACAGTCATCTGAACACACTGCCTTTTACCTGCAGGAATCCTTTCAAGAAAATAATAAAAAGATGAGGGATTGTGTACAGCTGGATTATACAGCATCAAAAAAATAATAGGAAAACAATTCTGCACTGAGCTGAAAAAGAATAATTTACTACGTGATTAAATCTGTACATTTTATAGAAATTGCTCAGTAGCACGTCTGCTTTTACTTTCATAAAGTATTGAGCAGCACATAGTTTTAACACTCTGGATCTAACTCTGTAAAGTGTCATTAAACAAGTTGCCACCTCTGCTGCAGTTCCCTAGAAGCTGATAACAAATGCAGTATGTATACTTACCCTGTAACCTTCAAGATCCCTCATCTGAATCTGTAGCAGAGAAAGATCTCTCAGGATTTGAAGATTGTCTTTGTCCCATTTCAGTGCATTTCTATAGCATTTGATAGCTTCGTCATACTTCTTGTCTGACCTCTGAAGAAGGCCATAGACATGCCAACCTGGAAGTCTCTGTTAGGGATTTTACTCAATTTGAGCAGAGAGAAAACAGATCCAACATGGCAGTGACAAAACAGTGGTAAAAAGCTCTTAAGCCATTTTATAAATGGCCAGTAACATTATTACAATCATTAAAATTCTTCCCAGCTGTACAAAGAAACTGCTTGCAAACTGAAGACAGAAAACTGTTTGCCAGTTCTATGGATAGGGTGCAGATAATATGCTGTAAACTGTACTTTTTGTGTACTGCGGAAGGAAATCAAGTAACAGCATCTCTGCAAAGACTACTGAGGCTTACTCAAACATATTTTTGAGTAAGGGCTTGTATCAGACACCTGAAATGCTTGCACTTCCTATATTCTAAGTATATGACAAGTCCTTCTCAATGTAACGGCAACTAGCAATGTTTTTAAAGCAAATCACACACTTAAATTCCTAGTTCAGCCCACCACAAGTTTAGAGTTCCAGTTTAATGCTTAAAAAAAAAAATATATATAATGCAAGTCAGAATAATATCTGAGCTAACTGTGACTGCAAGGATAGCTGCAAAGCATCTGCCTGTTGGACAGATGAAACATTCTTATATACTGCAAACAAAACTTAAAATCCTGAATTTCCAGTTTGAAGCCTAATGGTACTGGCTTTTGTTGCTATTCTATAAATCAAGTAGTTGCAGAAATAAACCTTTTCCATTCACAAGCGAAAGCCCTACTTTGAAAAGGATACAGACATGACTCTTCAAGTCATTCCTTAGGCCTCTACGCACAAGTTCATAAGCTTCCTCTTTCTTCCCTAGGCAATTTAATGTTAGTCCTTTCATTGCCAAGGTTTCTAAAAAAAAGAAAAAGAAAGAAAAAGAAAGTATTAAGATCAAATAAGTATCAGTTATTCATTTTCATAGGTTTTTATGCTTAATACAGTGAACTTATTTACCAGAAGCAAGACTTTGCCTTTTCACATGGAAAACAATACTGGCAGATTATTGAGTTAAGTATATCATACACAACAATAAACTTTATGCATTACTTCCACCAAAAAGTGAAGCAGTGTTTTATTTTAAAGGCACTAAAAACTTTCTGCTCTACAAACATTTGAGAGAGATATTGTTTTACTGTAAAGAAGCATTATAACTACTCAAGTATTTATTCACATCACAGACTTCTACACATCCACCCATGCCAAAGTAGTTGTCAAAGAAAAAAAAAAAAAAAAAACCCACATTTCTGCACAGTGAAAAAAACCTCTCAACTCAGTATTAAGAACTGATTGAAAATACAGAAGGCGACAAACACCTTTTTCTGCTTTTACAATAAGACTATTCCTTCAGAAAAAGTAGCAGACCACAGAGCTGACAGACATACATTGCTGAACAATATTCAATCTCTTTCGTCTTTCATTTCTACACAAGTGAATAACAATTTCCCCTGAAAAGTGATTTAAGCAATAGATACTTTTATTAAGAAACTTGCACCACACTATAAAGAATGTTAGACTTGCAGCATAAAGGTACAGAATGGCAAGCTATGACTACTGACTACCAGTAAGATCAGTCTTTAAAATTACAAATCTTAGCAACAGTAAGTACTTCATACAGTGCAGGTTTCTGGACGCTCTTACTGCTTTATAGGCAAAAGGTTAACAGTAAATTGCTATAAATATAAAACTTACAAATTATTACTCTACCCTAAAGTATAGGGAAAAAAGGGACCACATGCCATTTGAAAACTTACCTCCATGTTCTGCAAACTTTGGGTTAGAAAGGATCTGTTTACAGAACTTCAGCCCATTTCTATACTGCTTATGTTCGTAACACCTCTGTTGAAGAAGAACAGAGTACATTTATTCAAAAAAATTAGAGTGCAAGCATTTCTGCACCCCCAAAATTAAGCATCAGTGCAGCTAGGGATCTTAAAAATGTACTAACGTTTTAACGAACCCTATTCAATGAGCTTCCTGCAATTAAAAATTTTTTCTATCACCAGAAAAAAACCAGTATATGTTAGTAAGAACAGGAGTTTAAATGTATAAGTTAAGACACATTATCATGCAGCAATTTCTCAGATAAGATACCACAGGAAGAATAAATGCCTACAGAGATTCAACTTTCCTTTAACACAAAACCAAACCTTATGTCGTAACATATCTTGGTAAGCATTCAACTCACTTTGGCTCAATTAATTATCTTTCACAGAAACACCACAATACAACCTCCAATAACCATACAGGCAAGAAAGACAATGAAATCGTTGGAACTTGGCTTAAACTATCTCTGAAAGTAACCTCTTAGGATCAACCTGAATACAACATATATCTCGTATACATACAAACTTTCAAAACTGGTACATGCTAACATTATCTTGTCATACTGGAAGTTTACACATTCCTTTACTATTTTAATAAACCCACCTCTAACACTTTGCTTGTGTTTGAGTCTCATTTCATTACGCAAGGTGACTGCAGTGCAAAATGGCACACACCGTGAACTTTTAAAACAAGTTTTAGTATTTTACTCCTCTTAAACCACTCCCTGTGCTAATCTTTAAATAGAAGCCAAAAAGGACGAAGTTAATGTTGTAAACACCAACTTGTACACTTTAAGTCACTTAAGCAAATGCTAGGAATTTCTTAGGCTTCATAATACAAATGCCCCAACTTAAGCATAAGAGTAAAGAAAGACACATTGCTTGAGCACAGACCCAAACCCTACAGTAACTAGGAAGTCATTCATAACAGGCTCTCACTGACTCTAGTTGACCAGTTCTGGTGGCAGGATGGCTGACAGGAGTGTAAAATGGGGTGCAGCAGAGTTTTCAATTCCTCTTAAATAAGCTGATGTTCAGGATTCCATCTTTCCTCATATTGCTCCAAATTAACTAAGCAAAAGCACTCATAAATACATACGGACACCATTTGACCTCTAAGCACTCCTACCAAAAAAAGTTAGGAGAGGCAGACCCAACAGGTCTTCCCATCAAGCAGAAAGTTCTAAAAATAAAATGATAAAGTTACATGACTTATGGAAATGTCTAAAAAAGAAAATGGCATATCTGCCTCAACTTGTCTGCTTTACATTGCTTTCGCATCATGAAAGGTGCTGTTTAGTGTCCAATTTTCTCTTCCAAAGCACAGATGGAAACACCAACAATAAACTTCCAACGGTGTAAAAAACTGCTATACCACTAAGTGGATGTATTATTTTCTAGGTACTAAAGTCACACACCTGAAATATCAAGGCTGAAGACCAAGTGGCATCACAAACCATGGATCTTGCTCCCCCTAACCTGTCACCGCCCTTTGGAGAAAGGAAACCATGGGAACGGAAAGAGGAGGAGGAGGAGAAGGAAGATGTTCAGAAAGAGCATCCAAAGCAAGATGGACTCAAAGAAGAACGTATCAACAAAAGAATGACAGAACAGTTTGGACTGGAAGGGACCTTCAAAGATCATCTAGTCTAACGTCCTTGCCATGGACAGGGACATCTTCCACTACCTCAGGTTGCTCAAAGCCCTGCCCAGCCTTGACTTTGAAAACTTCCAAAAGACAACTCCCTCTATCACCAAGGACAGGAAAAGTGAGCAGGACAACCACTCAGCAAAAGAATATTAAGGGTTAGGCAAGAGGAAATCTGTATAGGCGTTGTCTTTTTTTTTTTTTTAAATTAAAATTGACTGGTTATTATTTACACCTTTTAGTCACTACCTGCTTTCAAGTAGCTGGCTGAGTCACTGTAATAAGCTGCTGGTCAGAGCTGACAGAGAGCTTACAGGTGACAACACAACAGGATCAAGCCTCTTTTTTTTTTAAAATTGAAGTCATCAGTCATAAAAGTTACCGCGCAGGCCTCCTCCCTGAAAGTAGAACTGTCATTTGCTCCCACCTAGGCAGGTGTGAAAGCAGCAAAACCTGTCACAAAAGTGGTGCAGCCACAGGAACTTAAGAACACGTCTCCTGTGTAACTAAGGCACCGTCACAAGCAGAAGGGGTGCTTTGGGGTTTCGCAATTTGCTTTTAAGTACAGCTGCTCAGATGCTGCCTATGAACATGAAATCTTATCTCTGAACAGTCCCATTTTACATAGTCTAACAACCAGCCTTTCACCTTGAAGTTTAAGGAAAGTCAGCCAAAATGGTATGTATGCTAGAGATAGGAAACATTTGCACATAGGTTTTTCTCAGAGTAATATAGAACTTCTAATGCAAGGTACTTTATAACAGAGTAAACTCACTCAGAATTGTAACACGTTCTCCCTTTAGGCTCCAGGGAGGAAATATTTGTGAGTTTATATCCACTTACGCCTAAGGAAAGGTTCCCATTAACCCAGAGAACACTGGATAGGACGAATAAACCGTCAGAAACTGCTCATGTACTTCTATCACCTGAAGTACCAAATGAAGAACTAGCCATAGCTGCTTATAACCCCCAGTGAAGTATCACAGGTCTCCATTTTCAGGTGTTTCTAGATCAAGACAAGCTGAAGTAATTTCCTATATAGAATTTCTCCAACCCTTCAGGTTCATACTTGAAGCCTATTTCATTGTGTTAATGGAAACATTTCAAACTGTGTCATTTTATGAGTTTCCTTATTTTCTGTATGTATTCTATGCACACACTGTATGTTTTGACAGGGGAAGGAAGGGAGAACATTAAACTGAGGTCATGTTTCATCCTTCTTCAGGAAAGAAGAGATTGTTTCATCAAAGTAGGTCCAACAGCATCACTGAGATTCCACTTGAAGCCACGCATACACTTCTCCTCCAACGAGGTTACAGACTAACCAGCTTAAATAAAGGTGTCAATGAGGGAGAAGGAAGTTGGGAATGCAGCATATGCCACCACGGCTGGTACAAACCTTCGTGAATCTGTGGCTCCAAGGGACAGAAATACAAAAGAAAAATCTTTTCAGAAAAAGGAGACAATAAATATTGAAAGGGGGAAAGGAAGAACAAAACATATAACACAAGGAAAGATGAGCGTAAGCAATACACAGCCTGGGAGAGAAAATCCTTATGGTAGTCAGTAGTTTCTGAGCAAGAGGAGCAAAAAGAACCTGTAATAAAAAAAACCCAACAAACCAACAAACCCACAGAAGCAGGAATGGTGACATCTCATGTATTCTTGGGACATACAGATACAGGCTTGCTGGAAGCAGAAATGGTCTTCATCTGGGTAGTTTGTTTCCTCCAGATGAATAGCTGGTAGTAATCATTCCCAGGCCTCCAACCCTTACTTCGGAACAGTTGTTCTGCAGAAGTAACATATTTCTCTGTTCCAGAGACTGCTCAAAAAGCACAGTTGCTTCCTCTAAGCTAGACTCCTGCACATACACACTTCCAAAGCCAGCAGTCAGAGCCTGCTTGTGATGCTTGACAGACGAGTGCTCCAGCTACAGCTTGTGACATCATGCAATAAGAAAACATAAAAGCTAAGCTTCTAAAAAGTAAGGTTAAGGCTAATGCTTTAAAAGAAAAGAATCTGACTCTCCATCAGCACTGAATCTCTATCGCACATTTGCTGCCCTTCAAAGCTTTTCCTTTAATAAGTTACCGGATGTTTTAAGATACCTAACAAGTTTTTCTATACATACTGTGGCCAGAATTGCCACCTACTCCAAACACACTGAGATTCTTTTTATATCCTCTAACTCATTTTCTGTATTTATAGCAAAGAAATAGCACCTGCTTTAATATAATTCTGCAAAGAATTAATGAGGCAGACAGAGTATGACTCCTTCAAAATTATACAAGACCACAGCAGACAGGAGACAATTTGTATTTGCACTGCTCCCCTACCACCAAGTATTTATTAATTGGATTTGAATGCACGGCAATTACGAGACAGAGACTGACAGTGCAATTACAAAGAACAGAGCTAGCCCATATTCTCCAGAATCCCAAGTCTGTGGTGGAGGGAGGGCTCATGTTCCGGTGTCTGGATCCCTAAACTGTATTAGGGCATCTCTGCAGAATCGGTCTTAGGCCAGCAGCTGTGTTACACATACACATGGCTCAGCATGCCAAGTATGAATGAATTCCTCTGCATTTCTTCCTTGATGGCTGCCATAAAGAAAGGTGAAAAGACTTCACTATTTACAGCTTACCAACATCTAGACAGCTAACTGCTAGATGGAGTTTGTTCCCTCCTCGCCCCAGTTTCCAGTGTTAAATCTTCCCTCCCCAGTGCATCTACTTTCTAAACCTTGTTATCAAATCTACAGCTAGTAAACCAGACTGACTTGGATTCTCAAGCAACTACTCTGGTTACCCACAAGGTTATACACAAGGGCCATGCTATTAATCGTAGTTTCACTCCTAAGGGCTGCTGACAATAGCAGAGAGATGACTTCTACCCAAGCCTAATTTGGCATTGTTTTCTTTACATATTGTATAAACAAATACATTTCCACAAGTGCATTTTAGAAATCTTACAGCTGTAAGTCTGAAATGTACAGAAGCAGGCGCTCTCATTGTTTGCTACCTGTAAGCAGGCAGCACATTTTACCTCTGACATATTCCTTCCCTCTCAGAATAGACATTTTAATGGTCAAGTACATATATTTCCAACTAAAAAGGAAGGGTAATAGCCAACTGCAGCATTTTGACATACAGACATGTATCTCAGCATTAAATACTCAGCACATAGCAGACCAGATTCTGCCATTACACATTAAATATTTTTAACATATTCACTTCCAGAAGTGAAAATCCTCTTTGTCACAAAGCCATTTTCATGTCCTGCAAGCATTTAATAAGGAAATAATTTAATAGCCTTCTCAACTTGAATTTGCTATTTGTAAGACATTTTATAACCACTACACCACAGATTAAAGTGTCCTGTATGTTCAGTAACATCAAGAGTTAACAATAGCTCTAACTCAGTATAATGCCAGGAGTTACCATGGGTCTTACCAGAAGCTTCGTAGCACAATGAATCTACGCTTCCACGAGGTATGACTCAATCTAACCGAGGCAAAGAATCACCTAGATCACAACATGAAAGCAGAAAAATGCCTTCAGGGGCACTTGAGAAGATGCGTATCTCCAATCTAGCTGATTCAAGAGCATTTACTACTGCAAGGTGGTTTTAAAAAGTCTCATAAGAGTCCATCCAGGCTGGATTTTGCAGCTGATTAAACAGGTGAGAAGCAGACCCAAAAGTGTCTCACGAGCAAGCTGAAGATACCCATAGGAGAAGTACAGAAAGGAGACAAAAGCCTTTTGTCTACTCACTCGGAAGCATGCAAAACTAGAGGTTTTTCCTCAAGAACAAGTACCAAAGCAAAGAAGGCACCGTTTGCTCTGCAAGCTCACTAATAGGAGCACTGGGGTGTTGTTGACTGCTTTCTTTTTATACTTACTTGGACCAGTACAGTTGGTTAGAAGAAAGAGTGGAGCGAGAGCAAAAACGATATAGCAGACCCAGGTATGTAGGATGGGATCACATTCCCAATTGTTATGCCCTTTGAACTGGAACAGTAACAAAACAATAGTGCGCAATATCTATTAACAAAGAATTTTGCAAAAAACAGTATGAAGAACTTTTAACTGTTTTCTCTTCTAAGATTACATAATTAAAACAAATGCAAACTCAAGTACTTTAAAAAAACAAAACAAAAAAACCAACCCCCAAACCCCACCATAAACCCCGCAGGAGATCACTTCTCACTGACGGCAACTCTGTCAAAGCAAGCATCCTAATTTAGTCAATGCTATGACTAGCCAAAGAACATGATCTTCTTCACTGAATGAGCACCCAAGTTGGATTCAGCCCCAAGAGACGGTGGAGATGCAAGTTGAACTTCTCATTGCTAGTCCACCATACCCCTGTCTCTCTTCTTCAGCAGGTGATATAGCCTGTGTCATCATAAGAGGCAATTTACTGCAGACTGTTCCCCATCATATACAAGAGTTACCAGATACAACAACTGATTTACACACGGGCACAGATAAATTTTCTACTTGCATCTGTAAGTCCCCAGGAGAAAGTACAATGAAGAACAGGCTGCTCTGCCAGAACAATTCAGGGATTCGACACCCTGCTATCCTCTTCCCTGAGTGCTTGTGAGGCTTGAGCAGAACCAAGGTGGACAAACCCTTTCCACTACAGCAATGTGTTCCTTAGGGCACTCTGCAGTTTGTCCTGGTAGCAGCCATGAACATGTACATGGGCGGCATCACATAGCAATGTTGGCAACTACAATGCCGTAAGACCTTTAGCAGCGGAAAGTGTTAGCAGACTTGGCCTTAGCATCAGCTAAGGCATGCA